TTTTTAATTTTATGAGTACTGATTTTTGTCTTTTAGTTACTTTCACAAATTGACTTTCTGAAATGGCCAGGAAATTCGAAAGATGCTTTCCCAATGAAATTTTGTTTTGATGATCAACCAAACTTTTAATTAGTGAAACGTTCGTGATTTGTGAAAATCATGATTATCAGTGGGATGGGGGAGATTAGTCTTAATGTGAATATGTGTTCAAAAAGAGATTCATCAAAGCATTCATGGCAATGAAAATGGGTAATTACAACATTATTTGTGTTTCACACACACACTCCTTTAAGACGGGCTTGTTAAAGCTGAATATTCAGTAAAATGAAAATAATACAGTTATCTTACATAGTATCCTGGTGTAAGGTGTAAGAAAGATCCTCCATCAGAAAAGTATTTGATGATAGATAAGAGTAAATATTACTGCAAATATATATGGGCCTGTCAAATTGAAAAGTCAAAATTATTCCTTACCTTTACAGAAGACGCAAAGCGCCACAAGCAGTTGTAAAAAGATCAACTTCATGGTGGTGATTTGGGACCTAGAAGCGGACATAAGTCATCCTGGAGAATCAGGTCCACCAGGGAGCCACTAGCTTGAGGTTTTATAGCCCTCATCCCACTGACTCTTATCCTGGGGGAGGTGTGCTAACTCTGGTGATGACAGAGCTAAGGTCCACAATCACAGTGTGCCAAAGGTGAAATCCACTTTAGGTCACTGCAGTGTCTTATTTCGGTGACATCTTCTATCTTGGACCAAGTCCATCGAATTTAAAATCAGACCATGCCGTCTTGCCGCCCTGAGCAAACAGTTCAGCCAGGAAATAAAAGCCTCAAGATTGAAAGCCAAATATGTTGGCAATGTACATTTATCTGCACCCTATTAGTCATTGCAGAAGGCTTAATACTGCAAGAAATTCAAATACTGTCACTGTATTGCAATGGTCTTTCCTTTAACAAAATGTACTTTAAACATAACCTACTTTGAAACCAACTCTTTCCTTATCCTTATGTTAAGAAAAATATATAACTATCATATAGGTACAACTATAGACCACTAAGACATTTAAATATATGATGGTCACAGTAACAGTTTTATTATACACAAGGATGCATAATACTCCAATAAAACATTGTCACCATGTGCTCATTATCAGATGCACAAATAAGTACAAATACGAAAATGAGAACATCAGAAAAAAAGGTTTAGGAAGAAATTAATTAGAAAATGTCACTCCAGTGTGATCTATCTATAGAAAGTTCAAGTTAACATGTAAGAGGAGAAGATCTGGTCTGTGTTGAGCAAGGTACAGACGGAATTTAAGTTATCTCTGGTGCGAGTCAGGTGGACCCGATCAATGAGAAGCCAAATCCACAGCCTGAATGAGATCACCTGTTCCTGATGACCATCAAAAGAACACTCCAGTATGTAAAGGAAAGACAGGCCTTATTTTCCCCCAAAGAAGCATAAACCCTTCAAGGAAAGGAAATATAATATGGACCAACCTCCCTTTCATTATGACCTTTTGCGTGCCCATTTTCCAACTAATCCAAACAAACAACTGATTCCTTTCCAAAGGGCTTACAAATGAGCCCCTTGCCCCACCAAATCTACTTAGTCTACTCATTGAGTCCCTGAATTATTTTGTAAGGGGACTAAATCTCACAGATTTAAATATTTTAAGTGTATTCACCAGTTTAAGTTCACACATTTACTGAAGGCCAGTCAGTTTTAACTCTGACAACCATGCTGGTATTGGAGTTTTTTCAGGGAATTTGAAAAGACAGATGGACACATTCATGTTAGAGAATACAGGTCCTCAAATCAGAGAAACAGCCACAAATAGCGGTGATAAAAGACTGACAGTATTTTTTTAAATTAGCTCAGATGGTTTCAGTAACCCACAAATAAAGACTGTATAAATAAAGACTTAAGGACATTTTTCCAACACAGAAAAAAATTATAGTTAGTGGGAACATTGCCTTTGAGACATATGACTCAAAATAGCACCACTTTGCATGATGCTCCTTCATTTCCACGTGAAGACCTGGTCCCAGAAAGCCCATTATTCAGATTACCATCATGACATAATGATTCTGCATGTGCTTAATAGGAGACTTAGATATATAGGAAAGAAGAAGAATCCACAAGTTTACCTACAGATTGTTGGGGGAAATTAAGAATGTACAAAAGAGAGCGTTTTAATAATCAAAGTAGGGGAGAAATGCTGCACAAGTTCCAAGAAAGATGAGATTTCTCTTGGGCGAATTGGTGAAAGTGGCAGGGAGAGGCTGGTTTAATGAGTTCCCTACAGGGAAAGCAGGTAAGACTTGGACATGCAGAATCACTGAAGATTTCCTAGTGGAAAATGCATTGTGGGTACAGTTAAATGCAGTTCCAATATTTGAAGTTTCATGAATGAACTCTTGCTTTTGATGCAGCACTGTTTCTGCTCTCTGGAATACTCTCTCCATATGTATCCACAGAGCATTCTCTCTTGCTGCATTACAATGAAGGTTTTAATGATGTACTTTACAAAAGGCTATTATCTACTCATACAAGCCATAATTATTTTTCTTCAAAATAACTTATTCAGTGTCATTATTCAACTTTTGCTCTAACGAGTCAATCCTCTCTATATGTAAACAATTAAAATATGAATAATTTGCATGTTTTAACTACACATCTGAAAAGATGGATCAATAACGCATGTCTTTGGTGACATATTTTCCAGTAAATTTTGAAGTAAATTAAGGTTTCTCCCTTATGCTTTCATCATCGCAGAGCACCCACCAGATACCAGCCTCTCATCTCACTTAGGTCTCTGTTGAAATAGTACCTTAAAAAAATGAAATATAACCTTCATATCAAGACCACTCCTGAACACATAAAATGACTGACCTCACCCTACAGTTCTTCTCCACACCCATTTTCTGCTTAACACTTGTCTGTTACATTTACCACCATGCAATGTACATGTTTTAATCTAATCTATTTAATACCTGTCTTTAGTACTAAAATATCAGTTCAATCAGGGCAGAGGCCTAGGTGTGCTTGATTCATGGCTGAATCCCAGTGTCTAGCTTGGTATGTGCTATGTGCTCAAAAGAAAGTGAGTGAATGATTTAGTAAATAACTTTGTTGGGCTCAAAAATAGATTGAATAATAATAGCAATAAAAGATAAATAGGTTTTACACCTGCAGCTATTTAGATTAACAGATGTAACTCAATATATAGAACATGCATTGACTTAGACACATGGTACTAAAACCAAAGAAGCATTGATGGACAAGAAAACGTTCCAACCTGACTGGAACTTCTAACTCAAACTCACCCCATGTCCGGGATAGGAAGTTGTACCAGTGCATCTAGTTGGCTTTTATTGATTTCACCAGTTCAAATTCATCACAAAATAGTGGAGAATAATCACAAAGTTTTAATAGTGTTTCACAGTCATTTCTCACTGTAATGCTAATAACCATAGATAAAACCTGAGCTACAGTAAAGCTAAAAATTAAGATCACCATGATTGTATAATAAAGGATATCACATAAGTTGCATTTATATGCACTTTTTTCTTATTCTTATGAAGAGCAAATGATTGTCTAAAACTTTTTACCCTTTCATGTTTCAAAGTATGTGATTGATATCATGAGAAATAAGAGAAAAATATACATATATATGTATATGTGTGTATGAAAGCTATCAATTTGGCAAATATTAAATAGGATTTTTTTTAAGAAAAATTTTTTCTAGGAAGTAGATTCATTTTCTTCTGGAATTTCTCATTAACTAACTTCTTTTAACAAGGATATTAAGAGCTTTAACTCCTTTGTAATGGTGTACAATTGGATACAACCATTTGACAGTATGAAAACATGCAGTGCATATCTCCTGTAGATAGTTTAAAAGCATGTCCATCAAAAAGAATAATAGCCAAATGACTATTTCTTGATTTAAAAGGATGTGGCTTAACTGTCTATGCACTTAACAATATAATGCTCAAGAAAAGTTCAACAATGGAAAGAATAATGTCATCATGATGAGTGAGATTGCTCTCATAATGTTTGTACCAAAGGAAATACAAAGAATGTTAAACAGTATCTATTTGGACTGTGGAGCAAGAGATTCTCTATTTTTGATATACATTATGGTCTCCAATTTGAAAGTTGAGTGTCTGAAAATTAGAAAATTTTTGTTACGGGAATTTTTATCCTGGGAGAAATAAAAAATAAACTTTTGAAGAAATATCACAAATTGTTTGAAACAAAATATTTGACGTGGACAATATCTAATTTTTCTACGTGTATCACCTCCACTTTAACTTTTAAATTTTTTCTTAGGATAGCATCTAGAAGGCAGAGGAAACTGACAATATTGGAGTGGATTTCAGATTGTGACTTTTATAAGAGTGCAGACAAGAAATTTCGTTAGGTTTGGGGGAAAATACTACATTGGCATTGATACTTACAGCTGTGCTACCAACTTCCCTGAGTAAAACTGTAGGAGGAATTTCACCAATGGCCGTAAGACACGTTTCTGACACATGTCCTCAACACTCTGTATTTATTCTGCCCAATCAGCTCCCCAAATTACTGTACAGGATTCTTCCACTTGGCTTCCTCTTTGTAAAATTCATTCCTGCCTTCGCATTCTCACTGTATCTTCATTAGACACAAGGTATGATTGAAAGATATAGCGAAGGTTCACATTTTTTCAAAAAATTACTATAATCAAAAGTGAACTGTCACTAAACCCCCATCAAAAGACTTCTCCTCATTCCCAACACACTCATCCCACCGTTCTTGCCCCCTTCGCAAGTAGTTGTAGAAATATCTTAGGCTGTATCTTTTGTGAGTATCTTAGGTTGTACTTTCACGGCTGCCTCAATGCCCTGAATCGATTAAAAAAGTTTACATTTCCTTGTCATTTTTAATTTGGGGAAGAGCCAGAAGTCACACAGTTCCAGATCCAGTGAATAGGTGAATGAGAACACACTGCAACATTTTTACGAGACTGCTTTTCTGTTGGGCGGTACTTTACAGCAGCATTCACCATAGTTTCGATCACACCTTGTAAAGATAAACATACCTGTTAAAGAGAACGTCCAGAACTGCTTCAGTGGTGGCAACAACAACAGATGCGAAAAGCAAAGCAGAAAATTTTGAGGGAGATTAATGACAGATGTCTTGTACTGAAACAATTTTCAGTTTTAAAATTTTATTAGTACCTGTTTGCCTTACATAATAATGACGTTCCTTGTGGAGAGTTGGTACCTGTACACAACACACCTCCCTTCTTTTTGTCAACCCCTTCCTGCCTCCTCCATCTCTTGATCCCCTTTTCATTTGAGAAAGACCCATCTCTCTACTTCCGAGTGTCTATCTTTTTTGTTCTTTATTCTTACTTTGGTTTTCTCATGTAAGAGAAACAATGTGATATTTAAGCTTGTGTCTTATTTCCCCTAACATAGGTTTCAAATTGCATTCGTTTTCCTACAAATGACTCAAGGCTGCCCTTCCTTACGGCAGAGTAGTACTCCATTGTGTATAAATGTCACAATTCTCCATTCTTCTGTTGATAAACATATAGGCTGCTTCTGAGACTTCACTATTATGAAATGTGCTGTTACAAACATGGATATGCATTTATCACTGTAATGAGATGCCTTTCACTCTTTCCAGAAGATACTAAAAAGGGAATAGCTCGGTCAAATAGAATTTCTAGTTTGCATTTTTTTGAGGAATCTCAATACTGACTTCCATAGAGATTGTACTAGTTTACATTCCCAACAATGTAGAAGGGTTCTCCTCACTCCATTTATTATCTGATTTCTTGATGATAACCACTCATTCTGGGACAAGATGAAAGGTCGGTGGTGTTTTAATTTGCATTTTTCTAATGACCAGCAGCGTTGAACATTTTCTTAGGTGTTTCTTGGCCATTTGTACTTCTCCTTCAGAGAAGTGTCTATTCATTTCAGTCGCCGATTTTTTGTGGGGGTCTTTTATTTGGGGGGACTAATATTTTTGAGCTCTTTATATAGTCTAGATATTAGTGCTCTGAAAAACAGCTCGCAAAAGTTTTTTCCCATTCTGAAGGTTATTTCTTCATTCTGTTGGTTGTTTTCTTAGCCAAACAGAAGCTTTTTAATTTGATATGATCCCATTTGTTGATTTTTGGTACTATTTCTTGTGCCTTTGGGGTTCTGGTAAGAAAGACTTTTCCTATGTCTTCAAAAGTTTTACTTACTTTACCCTTCAGCAGATTAAAAGTTTCTGCTTTAACACTAAGATCTCAGATCAATTTGATTTTAGCTTAATATACAATGAGAGATAATCTGCATGTGTATAGCAATTTTTCAAGCACCCTTTATTAAAGAGGCTATCTTTCCTCCAGCATATTTTTTTTCCCCTTTGTGAAAAATCAAATAACTCAAGGTACCTAGGGTTGTTTCTGAATCCTCTATCCTGTTCCATTGAGCAACATGTCTGTTTTTGTGCCTGTACAATGATGTTTTGATCATGGTAACTTTGTAATTTAACCAATTACATGATTTTGATGCCTCTAACTTTGGTTACTCAGGATTGCTTTTGCTCTTCTGGGCCTTTTCTGGTTCCATGTGATTTTTAAGATGATTTTCTCTAGTTCTACAAAGATTGCTGTTGGTATTCTGATTGGGATTGCATTAAATGTATGTGTCAGTTTTGGAAAAATCACCATTTTGCCTATATTGATTCTGCCTATCTAAGGACAGGGGATATCTTTCCACTTTCTGATGTCCTTTTTAATGTTCCTTTTTAGAGTAGGTCTTTCACTTCCTTGGTCAAGCTAATTCTTAAGTATTTAATTTTTCTTGATGCTATTGTGAATCATATTGTTTTCCTAATTTCTTTCTCAGTGAGTTCACTGTTGTTGGACAGGAGCACTATGGAGATTTCTGTATTAATTTTGTATTCTGCTACATTGATGAATTTATTAAATCTCTTGAGTCTTATGGTTGAAGCTTTTGGGTCTTTTATGTACAGGACACATCAACTTCAAGTAGTGATAGTTTCACTTCTTCTTTCCCTATATACATCCTTTTTATTTATTTTTCTTGCCTGATTGAACTGGCAAATGTTTCAAGTATGGTGGTACCTTGGTAAATGGAACTTAATTTGTTCCATGATTCTGGGGAAGATGGCTCCATTTGTGTTCGTTCAGGGAACGTGGCCATGGACATGTTTGGCACCTGATGTGGAGTTTGCAATTGGGAGCAAAATTTTGCTGAACACTTCTGTTTGTGAACCGAATTGTTCACGAACAGAAGTGTCTGTGAACTGAGGTATTACTGTACATGTTGAATAGAAGTGGTGACAGTGGACATACTTGTCATATTCCTGAATTTAGAGGAAAGTTTTCAGTTTTTCCACATTTAATATGATGCTGGCAGTAGATTTGTCATAAATAGCTTTTATCAGATGCATCAGATGGGATAAGGTACTGCTACACATACTTTCTTCAGGGCTTTTATGATGAAAGGATGTTGCATTATGTCAAAGGCCTTTTTTGTATCTACTTACAGGATCATGTGATTCCTGTCCTTCCTTCTGTTTATGTAGTATACAACATGTAGTTTATATTGATTCATATGGGTGGCACCATCCATGTATTCCTTGGACGAAGTCTTCCTGGTTATGGTACATGATCTTTTGAATGATGTGTTGCATTCTGTTAGCCAGTACCTTGTTGAGGAATTTCACATCTATGTTCATTGAGGACACTAGTCTTTCTGCTTTTTGGTTGAATCTTTGTCTGGTTCCAGGAATGACTTTGGGAGTACTCCCTTTTCAATTACCTAAATGGGCTTGAAGAATATTGACATTAGATCTTCCTTGAAGTTCTTATAGAATTTGGCAGAGAAACCATTAAGATTTGTGCTTTTTGTTGTTGGTGGTGGTGGAGATAGGTTGCTAGTTAGTACTATAATTTTATTGCCTGTTTTTGGATTATTCAGGGATTTTATATCTCCTTGAATCAGTTTTGTAACTCATATCTAGGAACCTATCCATTTTTTCTGAATTCTCCAATTCACTGGTATACAGGTTTGTAGTATAGTTGCTAATAATCTTCTGAATGTCATCAGTGTCTGTTGTGATTTTACCTTTTTTTCTAATTACATTGATTTGGGTATTTTTCCCTTTTTTGGTAAGATTGGCTAAGGGATTGTCTATTTTGTTTATTCTTTCAAAGAATTAAATCTTCAGTTCATCAATTATCTGTATTGTTTTAGTTGCCATTTCATTGATATCTGCTCTGATCTTTATAATTTCCTTCTTTGTACTAGCTTTGGATTTACATTGTCCTTGTTTTTCCAGTACACTGAAGTGTATCATTAGGTCATTTAATTAGGCTCACTCTATTTTTCTGATATAAACATTCATAGCTATAAACTTCCCTAAGACTTTTTTATTGTGTCTCACAAGTTCTGGTACGTTGTACTAGCATTATCATTTAATTCTAAGAATTGTTTTATTTCTTGATTTCTTTTTTGACTTAGATTATTCAAGAGTATATTGTTCAATTTCCATGTATTTGTATAATTTCTGTGATTTCTTTTGTCATTGATTTCAAGTTTTATTGTACTATAATCTTATTATAATAAGCAAGGTATCAATTCAATTCTTTTGCATTTACTTACACATTGCTTTATTGTCTAGTATGTGGTCTGTTTTGGAGAAAGTTCCATGTGCTGCTGGGAAGAATATGTATTCTGTTATTGTTGGGTGGGGCACTCTGTAGACATTTACCAAGTGTAAGTCTATTTGTTGAAGACATCTATTAAGTCTATTTGTTTTATTTTTATTTTTTTTTGCATCAACTGATCTATTTGCGATGGTAGGATATTGAGTTCACCCACCATAATTGAACTGATATTTATCTGATCTTTTATGTCCTTTGTTTTATGAAGTTGGCACATCATTGTTTGGTGTGTATATGCTATAATTGTTATTTCTTCCTGTTGAATTCTTCCTTTAACCAGTATGTACTGCCCTTCTTTGTCTCTTCTCATCAGTTTTGGCTTGAAGTCCACTTTGTCTGAATATAAAATAGCTACTCATGCTTATTTTCAAGTTTCCTTTGCTTGGAATATGCTTTTCATCCTTTGATTTTTTTTTTTTGTCTGTGAATTTCTTTTTGGGTTGCATGTGATATGTGTATACAGCTTACTATTGCATTTTGTTTCTTGATCTATTATGCCAATCTGTGTCTTCTGATTGTGAAATTGAGACCATCACATTGAGAATTATTACTGAAAAGTATTGACTCTCTTGTGTCATTTCATTATTTTTCTGTTGTTAATTCCTTTTTATTTCTACTTAACTGCTTACACTATTTGTAATCATTCTATTGGGCCTTCTGGTATTATTAGCTTTATATTTTTTTCTAGGATGATATCATTGGGAATTTTTCTTGGAGGTCTGGTTTGTCGGTCACGTATTTCTTTAGGTGCTCTTTTATCAATGAAATATCCTACTTTTATCAATGAAACATATTTTTGAAGGATATATCAACCTAAGTTAGAAATTGGTCTTTTTTAGGGTTTGAAATATTTCATTCCTAGCTCTCCTGGCCTTTAAGTTTTCTGTTGAGGACTCTGCTATAATTCTAATGGGTTGTGCTTTATAAATGATTTGTGGATTGTTTTCTACCAACTTTTGTGATTTTATTATTGTGATGCACTGCTGGGATTTTGACCATGATATGCTCTGAAGAGCTTCTTTACAGACTGTGGCTATTTGGGGTTCTATATCTCTCACTTACCTGTATATTAAATTCCTTCCCCACATTTAGAAAGGTTCCTATTATTTAAGTAAATAAGTTTTATGCTACTTGTGATATTTCCTTAATTTCAATTAATCTTACATTAAGCTTCTTTGAAGCATCTAACAGCTGTTGGATCCACTGCTCATATTCTCTCATTGTTTGTAAGGTATCTCTCATGAAATGGTCACCACCATCAGCAGCCCTGTCTTGTTGCTCTGAAACTTTGTCCTCACATTGGCCACTCCTTCTGCCCACACCTTCAACAGCATTTTTATATCTTGAATTTCTGTATTCTACCATTTTTTTATGGACTCTAATCCTTTTCTATACTGGATATTCATGTTTTGTATCATTTTATTTAACTACTCAGCTTGCTACTTTTCCATTAGTATCTTCTGTAGACTCCCTGATTGTTTTCTTAGGCACCTTATCTGTTTAGTTGTATCTTTTTTGTGCACATCAAGCACTGTATTCCTCTGGGGCTTTTTCTTTCCACTGTTATCCTTTCAAATGATTCAGCTGTATAAAGGCTTTATTTCCTCCTCCTCCTAAGTGCCTTGTAAGTCAGGTTTGAGGGACTTACGAGTATTTAAAGACATCCTGTTGCCTTGCCTTCACACGTTTTTTACTTTTTTGATGTTTGCTTTTGTGTAACAACATTTTTGTAATGATTTTTTTGTAATAAAATTTGCGGATAAGGAAGATGTGGTTTTTCTATAAAATGGAATACTACTCAGCCATAAAGAATGAGAAAGTAGATTCATTCATAGGTAAATGGGTACATTTTGAGGATATATTCCTAAGTGAAATAAATAAGTCACACATATGCAAATACCAAATCATTTCTCTGGTGTGAAAAACTAAAATAGTACTCAAAATCCTAATGGACAATTAGCGATGTGAAATAGGAAGAAAAGGACCAAAGGTGTAGGGACAGTGAGAAGGATAGGGAAAGGGGAATAAGGGAAAAGGAAAAAAATATGAGAAAATGTAAAAATGGAATTAAAGTGTTTGAAGGTGGGGAGAGGAGGAGGGGGTGAAGGGAGGGTAGGTACAAGGGGAAAAAATGAGAACCAAGACCTGGCATGTAAAGGTACAAGATCCCAGTAATGAATGTAACTGCACCATCTACCTAGAATGTACCAATAAATTCAATTTAAAATTAAATAAATAAATAAAATTTGCAACAATAATAACATCAAAGGTAAATTGGATATTGACATGCCCTAAGAATCGATAATGTAACACCCTTCATGGTAGACAAGAGATCTTTAATTGCATAAACACTAAAAGAAACCAAATATTGTCCAATGGTAAATATCTACTAAATGGGACAACTTAACCTTAACTAAGAGTAGAACATTATTAAACAATAATAGCATGAAGTTAACTAATTATCCCAAGACTCATAAAGCTTAATAGCTGTACTGGTAAAGATAGAAGGAGTGGGGAACCAGAGAATGAGAAAAGAAAAATTTGAAAAATAATCAATGAAAGATGAAAAGGAGGATAGAAAATTGAGATAGGAATCTTATTGAGGTGTAAAATTAAATTAATAGTATTAAATAAAAATAACAAAAAGATGAAAAAGAAAAAAGATTAAAGAGTAAAATATAGAAAAAAAGAAAAGAAGAGAAAAGAAATAAATGAAAGACTAACCTCAAATCCCAAAATTCAAAAAAAGGGAAAAAAAAAAAGGAAAATTTAAAAATTGAGTCAATTATTAAAAACTTCTATGATTTTTGAACAAGTGCTTTATTTCTAGGAATCTAGCAATGCATGACTTTTTCTGCTTAGGTTTACAGCCTGTTGAGGTGCCCTCCCTGCTCCACAGGCCTCTCTGTCCTTACACCTCACACTGGCAACAATTCAAAACAAGGCACGTGCTTGGTCATGTTGGTAGATGAGAAAAGCAATCAGCCCTCTAGTCTTTGCTGGATATAGCCCATGAGGCAAGCTTCAAGCAGACTTTTGCACTTAATGCCAGATCCACCTCTTCTGGAAGCCACACTCACTAGGCCTGGTTTTTCTCTACAGAAGACAGAGGTCATGTTCATCCCAGCCTGAGCATAAACTTCTCTAGGAGTCTACATCCAGCCCACACCCTCATCATGGCTGTCTCCTGTGGCTGTATCTCACCCAGTCACTGTGGTAACACTGGAAACTTTGAAATAGTCATTCTGTGACTCAGCCTTAAAACATGGCCTCCCAAAACTTAATTCATTCCATGATTCTGCTTACACACTTATTGGTCACAAACAAAATCAAATTTTCCCATAAGGTTTAATGTCACCCAATGCAGTTCTCAAACATGATCACAATCATCTGCCCCACACAAACACAGCCATCTTTCCCCAAATCATAAAACACATTAAATTTGTAAGCTAGTTAGGTAGGTAGATCTAGATCTAAATT